TTGTACGTACTGTGATCGTATATGATGATGATGATGATGATGATGATGATGAATGATGATGAAATAAATAAATAAAATAAATAAAATAAAATAAATAAAAATAAAATAAAATAAAATAAAAAAAAAATAAAAAAAAATAAAAAAATGAAAAAATAAATAAAACTATGATCTTATTTTGAATCAGCTTGGTCTAATAAATGCCCAATTAACAGTTATAATATTAAAAACAATTGTTGTCTTCCATCAAGTCAAGTTTGTATTAGAAAATCGACCAATCACATTGTTTAGATTGGAAAAGCCTTGCTGTGGGTCCATAGCTCTTCTTTTGCCGGTCTTTAGTATTTGTGATGGTATTTTAGTCATTTCTGGTACATTTGGTGTCATTACGTTTGCTATTTTCAGATATTAGAATTTTTATAGACACAGAAGAGCTATGATTCCTCCCAAACGCGCGACGCCAAATAGCATCGCAAATACAAGTCGATAAAAGTACACCATTTTCATATAGCACGCAATACGAAACTATGACCGATCGATAGTATGTTTATTGAACACTCGCAAGCAAGAAATTCTGTTTGAAGTAGTTTTTCCGGGATTTAGTTCGCTTAACCGTTCGCAATTCTAGTGACAGCCTTTTTTTTTAGGTCAAACGAGAACAAAATTATTTGACTGAATAAAGTCACTGTACTAGAACTTTCCTCGGAAAGTGAAACATCTAAAACGCCAGGAAATGGTCGTATGCTACTACGCAATAGACTTCGTGGTATTTACTGTTGTCTATTTCCCCTGTATCCTACACGCATGAAAATACATCTATTTGTACATTTCTCTCAAAAACCGTGGGCAGTACATCTGCTAGCAGACGACGACGAGTAGTTTGCTTTATGGAAGTATCCAACAAGTTATCGGGAATACCTTCTCCAGTGAGATCTTACTGTCCTCGTTGTCGCTGGAGTTACGTGTGGTCTGGAGCACTAAATCCCGGGAAAAGTTTAATAAAGTTTAATAAAAATATTATCGATTGGCGTTAGCTTTGATGGTGTGATGCGAGAAAATATTCTGCTTTCAAGTTTATTGACTTTTATTGCCATTTGGCGTCGCACGTTTGTGTTGCGCAAGACTATGAGAGGAACCATAGATCTTCTGTGTCGATAACAATTTTATAATTTGAAAATAACGAATTTAATGATACAACATATATGCCTAAAATACCACCACAAAGATAACAACCAACACAAGAAGAGATAAGAAAAAACAAACAATCACATTGTCAAGTCTGAAGTTGAAAAAAATCTCACAAGGAAAAAAGGCAAGAAAAAAAATTGCCATGTTGGTGGAGGGAGAACGAACAGACGATGACAATTGAAATATTTCACGACAGTGATTCAATAGTGAAACATTTGTTTTAAGACCTGCTATTGGTTGATAGATGTCTTTAGGGTGCAAATGTTTCAATTGGATGGCAGTTGGAATTTTTAAATTTTCTCGCCGTCAACACAAATTTGAATCACCAGAGCTAAAAAGAGATGCTCAGTTCTTTTTTGGTGTTTTAATGCAGTTAATATTTATTACGAGTAGGGTTATTGCGTCTCACGTATTTCGTGTGATCGTTTCTCGATCACTAAAAGACGGACCGTAATAGCGTTACCGCCGAAAAACAGACTAGAGTAGAACTATGAATGCAGATTATATTTTCAACAAAATAATTTACGACAGTGACTGATCAAATGGAAATACTAGTAGTTTGTCATTCAAACCGAGGAATCACGAAAAAACATCGTGGTGTCTTTTCACTTACCAGATAATCCGTGTAAGGAAAGCAGTTATGTGTTATATTCCTTGTATGCCCGGATGCAGATTTTAGTCCAGTCGATAAGCGTGCGATTAATTGCTACAGAAAAACTGATCTAAGTATCAGTTGCGAAATATCCCCTTAAACAACTTACCAAGTCAACCAATCGTGTTGTATATTCACTATTTGCTCCAACTTACTTATTTTTCTAGTCAGTGGTTACGTAACAGTCTTTAACATAGCAATAAGAGCACCTGTACGGGCAACTATGTAAAACAAATGATATTTTACTGCGTTCTCTGTTCAGATACACAGATATTTATAATTAGAATTTATACCATTATCTTATCCTTCACAGTAGTCATTCAATGATGGCGGAGTCGCAGTGGTCGCTTTTAGGATTGTGCTCACAGTCTATGCAGTATTTTATCACTCAAATCTACCTACGTCACTTACATAAGTCAGTGTCAATGAAAAAAGGAATAATCAAAGTGTTCTTGAAGAAAAAAATCCAAAATGCGAACAAGACTAGGCAGTTAGATAATACAAATACCTAGTTTTTTACGCATGTTAAGCTCCGGTGTGTCTATCTGTCTGTAATCTATTTAATATATATGTTCGCATGTGTGTCTGATACGCCGACTACAAGTAACTGTTCAAACTGAGTCGGAGATACACCAAGTACAACTTATCTGCGTACTTACTGTGCCAAACATACACCCAGACCATGGACCATGCCTAGACTAACTTGTGTGCCTGCGTAAAAGAATACTGATACTTGTTTATAACGTATTGCTCCCTGGGAATGTACTTGAATATAACTGTAGAGACGAGCAAACAGTTCACTATATACTGACAGTAATGTCTTTTTTTAAAGAAATACGAAAATTGTGATGCCGAAATGTGTTGATGCGACTTGATGCGAAATCATCTCAAACTGATTTAACAGGTAAATATAATAAAACAACAATTAAATAAATTTGTAAATAAAAATGTAATTCATTGTTAATTACTACTAGTAAATGTATTTTTAAATTTGGATGAACATTTAGTATGGAATAATACAGGTCAGCCAAAATTATGTTAAACACATGTTTATTTAAAAGTACATTTAAACGTTTTTGTGTTTTTATTGAATCTCCGCGATAACATCTGAGACAAAAAAGTGACTCTGGAATGATTCATTTTGTTTTGAATTAAATTTCCCAAAATATTCAAGAATTGAATATAGTTACTGGTCGCCATTTTTCCAAACTGTTCTGCGTAATCTGTGATATATTTTCAAATAAATATACAGGTTCAAGTATCCTCGGGCGGGGCTACGTCACAAGACGGCGTTCCACGTTGCTAAGACGCGCACCACTGTACATGCATTTCTATGGGCTCTTTTCGCGCTGCTGTGGAACGCCGGTCGAGCCGGTGAAAATTCGAGAAAACAACACAAACTCAACTTTGAAGTAATACTGAACAACCAAATTTATTCATGTTACACTAAATTTCCACCGCCAGGGTTGCCAAGCGGTGAAAATGACCGGATGTCCGCCCCCGAGGATAGATGCAAATGAACATCACACCGGGTGATATAGTAGGATTAGAAGTATACCTAGTCTATGGCTGCAAATAGACTTTTAACATTGGGAGATCATTGATAATGTTATAAACATCGTATTCGAGC